ACGACAGTCGGATCAAATGATTAATCTCAAAATTCCAATTTGAATTCTCAGGATCGCCCTCTTAAAATTCGTTTGTTTCAAGCCCTAAATACAACACTCCCTCTAGTAACTTAACATCACCATTTGCTTCTTTAGCAACGAATATTCAACGAAGCTCCACATATGGATAAAACTGAAATCAACGGTCCCAATTCACGGTTCATCTCCGCCGACTGCGGCAGCACCGTTAGATCGCCCTCGCAACATAACTACAGTAGCCGCGCCGTTCAGGTACACAGCACACACTTCTCCGTACAAGCAGTAAATGTACATAATATGCTTATGCTCATTTGTACGTAAAACCCTAGATGTTATTTTAGGGTTTTAGGTTTCAATTAAATTTTCGTAAGGGTTATAGAGCAGGGAAGGCGTTATGTCGATAGATGTTTAGTTCTTAAGGTTTACGTTGGTTATATTATTTGCTTAGTGCCTTCAAAGTGTTATGTTGAATTGTGATGAGAATGTGGAAACTGGAAATGTGGTAGAAAAGATTTTGGCATTTTTTAAGCTGTCTACTGTAGGGGTTTAGAATCTGAGAAGTATGTAAAAGATGTTTGTTTTCTTGTACTTACACTGTGAAGAGAGCTTGTACAAGTAAGATATCGTGTTTTAATTGTTTTTTAGGTTAGAGTGGAGGAATATAGAAATGAGAATATGTTTATGGTTTTCGATTGAAGTAAATATGTGTTTTATGAGTTATTTTGATTTGGGTTGATTATAATGTAACCAGTGACGGTATTGCATAAGTAAGGGGTTTTATTGTACATGGTATTCTAACTTCATCTTTTTGTTGTCTCCTGTTTTATTGCATTTAGGATAATGTGTTTAAATCAACAGTGTTGTATTAGGTGGCAATCCAATCATAGAATTGGAAATAGTTGGAAATGGTGGTTGCCTTATTCAGAAACATTAGACATTGACATCCTGCTAATCCAGAGATTTGGTTACATAGTTCCAAGCACGGTGTTAGTTCAAAAATTGAAGCTGTGAATGCTTCTTGTTGTCGTGTTTCTGTTTTGTTATTATTTTTGAATGATGAGAATAAAATTGTGTAAAAGTTGTCTTGGACGTTAAAGATAAAAATGCCTTTACTATATAATGTGCTATTCAGCTTCTGCTAACAATGATTAGTTTTATCAGGAGTTTATATTTTCCTATTAATTTCAATTTCAGGAAACTTTGGAACACTTGGCATCTATTGATCTCAGTGAGTTGTGCAATGAAGCCAAAATTGAGCGTTGTCGGGCAACTAGAGACTTGAGAAGCTGTGGGCGTTATGTACAGTGTGTGTTGAACTCATGTGGACATGCCTCTTTATGTGCAGAGTGTAGTCAACGGTGTGATTTTTGCCCAATTTGTAGAATACCCATACCTAAGGATGGAAATAGACTTCGGCTTCGCCTTTATTATGAGTGCATAGAGGCTAGTCTGATATCCAAAAGATGTGATGAAAGGTTCCAAGATATAGAGGATGGGGAGAATCAACTAACTGCTGATATTCAACGGCTTTATTCTTTGTTCGACATTGCCTTGGAGAATAACTTGACTTCTTTGATTTGCCATTGTATCCTATTGTTGCATTGGTGTCCCTCCCTTTTTTTATGTCTTTTAATTTTTGGGCATGCAAATTGAGTTTCTTATCTTCATGACTTCTCATAGATACCACTGTCTTTCCCTATATTAAAAATTCTTAAAATTGTGGACTACTTTTCTATCTTATTCTCTAGAAGAAAAATTTCAGTGAACTCTGAAGACTGCGGTAACAGGGATAAAAACAGCTTGATATTTGTATTATATGTCACAGTGTGAAGATGGCACAAATATATGTCACTGTTATCTGTTTAAAGGTTGTTTCCTTTTGTTGGAAATGCGTGTTTTCCTTAAATAAAGTTGACAGATGTTAGCGATGTTTGTATGGATGAAGCTGCTGTGTCTAGTGATCCTGTCATTGCCTTCTTGTTGGATGAAGTGGTCATCAAGGATTGGTGCCAGCGGGCATTCAAGAATATCATAGCAGAACTAGAGTGGATATGTATCCTTATCAATCTTTTTAATTTTTTTATCCAGCACATGTTGATCACTATTTGTGCTTCTGGATATTGTCTGCAGTCTATTGACATTGTTTGTTTCCTAATCTTTCTCATTAGATAATTTGGGAGTAGAAGAGATGAAAACTAGGCTAAGTACACTTCTAAAGTTTTCAGTGCAGCTGGCTGGCATATCTAGTGTGATTGAAGTTTTGTCATCATCGTTTAAGGATGATCTTTCTGCACAGGTTCATGACTTGCACCAACTTCAAGAGAGCATATTAAAGACAAAACAGGTTTGGTTACTACAAAATTATGGTTTTAATGGTGTGGATATATCAATGTTTGATTGTTTAAGGATGATCTTTCTGCACAGGTTTTGTTTGCCCTGGTTCTTTTTTTTTTTTTTTTTACATATTATTTCTGAAATTATTTCATCACATATTCGTTGACCTTTTTTATGAATAACAAATTATATCTCCATATAGTTTCGGACTTCTGATTAGGTATTGCTTTTTCTTGTAAAAGTTCTTAGAGACCATGATCTTGAAAAGCATGATTGATAGTAAATAGGATTTAAATAGAGAAATCAGCTCTTGCCGCATCTCATGCCATAGTTGTGCTTCTGTGATATTTCACTGTGTACCTAGCATCTCCTTATATAAATATATTGTTTTTATTGAATATATGAAGTTGTAAGTGTGCATTTTTTAGTAAGCAGTCAAGTGGGTTATGAACTGTTATCAACATTTGGTCAACTATAAAACTAAGAATAGTTCTGTCTAAATATTGTTTCTTGTTTCAGCATTTGGAGATTATGATGTGGTGTGTAAAGCATCAATTTCTGGAGGATTTGACATCTCGTTATGTTAATTTCGCATCATGGCGTTCTTCAGTCCGTCAAAGGAAATCAGCTGCAACTAAGCGTGCATGGTTTGATGTGGTAAATTACTCTGCAGAGTCCACTGGACAGGATGGTTCTCTGTTCATTGAAGATGCACTAGCTAATCTTGAGATAGAGCAGAAGTATAATCAGGGAAGGGGAGAGGAATTAGAACTTGCATCTTTGCACAAGGATGAAGGAGGCTTGTCCTTCTTTAAGTCCAGGATAGAGGGATTGTCAGGTTGCTACCCGTTTGAAAATCTTCGAGCAGCTGTTGATATACTATTTTTACATGGTAGTTCTGATTTGGTTGTTGCAAAGCAGGCAATTGTATCCTTTCTCCATTTTAAGTTACTTTTTGCATACTGGATGATATCGTTGGTTGTAGATATTTTTAACCAGGGAATATTCTTTTATTTTTTCCTTTGTTTCTTAACTGAGGCTCAGTTTCTCTATTACCTGTTTGATCGGCATTGGACAATGCCTGATGAAAACTGGAGACATATTGTGGATGATTTTGCAGCCACCTTTAGCATAACCCGGCACTCATTACTGGAATCCCTTACTTTCTATCTTCTGGATGACCACACAGATGAGGCTTTGCAGGTAACTTCTGGACATGAAAGATTTGCCTGCATTTGAATGCAAATTTTAATTCCTTTTGAAGGCACATTATTTGAAAAGCTTCATATTTTTCATATGTTTGGTTTCATTGTTTTATTAGTCTGATAATTTTGAAGGCTGCTAAATAGAACTGTGAAAACAATAATGAATTTGTATTAGGAATCGATTTTCTATGCACTTCCATGCCGGTCTAGAGAAGAGATTGTTGCAGCATAATTGTTGGAATTATAAAGTATAAGTATGAGCTTCAAAAATGGTCTTCATTAACATAAGTTTAACATGTCATGGTTTCTATTGTTTGTTCAAGCTCGAAATGGTCTTCATTATCAAAAATGGTCTTCATTACTAGGTTTTGCGTTCTACCTCTACATGTAGAGCTCTTTTTATCTGTCCAAAGTAAATGATCTAGTTTCATTGTTTAGTTAGTCTGCTAATTCAGAAGGCTACTAAATAAAACTTTGTAAAGTTATTTTCTATAAAATAATCCTTCGTTAAAAGACTAGCACTTCAATGCTTATCTAGAGAAGAGAGTCTCAAAGCATAATTCTTGGAATTGTACAGTAGTTGTATAAGCTCCAAAGATGGTCTTCATTTACATTAGCTTAGCATGTTCATAGTTTCTATTGCTTGTTCAAGCTCAAAATAATTCATTCTAGGTTTTGTATTAGACCTCTACATGTAGAGCTCTTTTGATCGTTCTACAGATAAATGATCTAGGAATAAAACTAATAGAAGCTCCATCAGGAAAAAAAATTCTATTTCTGTTTTTGAAAGCATTTAAGTTAATTCATTGAAGAATTATTATTGTGAGTTAGATTGAATTCTTATGGAGATTTTAAGTGCATGTTGTTATAGTTAGGATATTTTCTTTTTTCTTCAATAATTTGTATGGTAAAAAGAAGTGTTCTAGGATGAAAGTGAAGGGTTTTTTTAGTTCCTTGCAGAAATATTTGTTATGTTTTGTATACCCATTTTATAATCTAATCATCTTTGACCTAATTATATTGCTCAGGAAGCTTGTCACCTTCTTCCAGAGATCTCTGGCCCAACAACTCATCCAAAGATTGCTCGAGTTCTCTTAGAAAGGGAAAACCCGGAGACTGCTCTTATGGTTTTGCGTTGGTCAGGTCGTGATGGTGGATCAGAGCTGGTTTCACTCAGTGAAGCTGGGACTGCTGTTCGGGTGAGAGTAGAGTGTGCACTTTTGACTGAAGCTTTTACATATCAGAGGATGCTTTGCAGCAAAGTCAGGGAAAAGCAGTTGAAGTATGGACCAAGTGGGGGCTCTTCTGATTATCTAAAAGGTGACTTCAAGACTTGGGAGCAGTGGGTGGAAATATTGGTCACTGAAATTTGTTGTCTTTGCATTCGGAGGAACTTGGTGGATCGCATGATCGAGTTACCTTGGAATTCCAATGAGGAGAAACATCTACATAAATGCCTATTAGATTCTGCTGCTGATGACCCTTCAACAACTATTGGTAGTCTTCTTGTTGTCTTCTTTATTCAGGTAACTTCCGTTTCTATTTTAATCCATTTAATGTGAACTTGAGTACTGCTTTTGGGTGTGGGTAGGCATCCAAGTATCTGATTTGTCTGTTAATCAAAGATTTTCCACCATTTGAAGGGTCTGGTGGTCATACCCATATTTCATGGACACAGGTGGTACAGTGATAGATCTGTGCGGCACATATTTTAAGTTAATCTTGATTCTAATTGGATTAAAATATTTGTAAGGGGATGCTACTGCTAATGAAAACTCGTCCTCCTTATCTGAGATGCACTATAGGAGCTTGTACCCCTATGGCTTAGATGCCAACCCTAGCTAAGTGATGCCAATGCCTGAATGCTGTAGCGATACTCTGTGTGTGTGTGTCTCAACTCCCTCTTTCTTGTAGCATTATCTGTCATGTTCATATGCTAGGGAGTTATTAGGATACTCTGCATTCAGATTCTGTTTAGCTTCCAGAACCACGGGAGACAATTTGTTAGAAGAAATTGTTCTTTCTGTTAGGCATTATATGTTCTTTTTGTTAAAAGAAATGTTTATGGTTGGCTGAGGGCTTATGAACTTGTATTTCTTTACCCTTTCAGCGTTATCGATATGCGGAAGCATACCAAGTCAATCTTAAGCTTCAGAGTGTCGAGCAAGACTTCCTTTCAAGGAATCCTGTCAGTGAAGAAATTTTATCTAGAATGCAATCACAAAGTCATTGGAGAACAAAATTTGTTGTAAGTGGTTTAAATATTTATAGCTAATAAGGTCCCCTGCAAGTAATTGAACTCTGAAGGGGTGCAGTCAAATCATCTTCCTGCATGGCTTATGGTGGAGGGGCTTATTGATTTTGATTTTGACTTGCTTAATTCTTGCTTCACATGATTAAAGGTTTTTCACTGTAATATCTAAAGCAGAGGTCAAAAGTGGCCTAGCTTTATACAAATTCAGTTAACTCTTTCCTGAGTACACACTATGTGCAACCCTACTTAACTCTTTGAAGCTAAGTTTGAGGTAGGAAGAATTAATTGGCCTACGAAAGAAAGTACCGATTTATTGAAAAAGCTTTTTTTTCAAAATTTATTTCTGATTGCAACTTAGTTTGTTTACATGGCACATTCATATATTCTTTTGTCATTAATACTTTCTTGAAGAAGAAGTTAGTTGAGCACTTATTAAAAATAGATATTCTAGTTATAAATTTTCTTGAATTTATTATACATGTTAAACAGGATTCATGCATAGAGTTGTTGCCAGAAGTCCAGCAGCAACTAGTGAAGAGTGGAAAATTGCCCGTGATTGCTGTTACTTCTGGTGAAGAAACTGAAATGCCAGCTCAATCTGATCTTTCTGAGTTGCAAGAACCAAAATCGACTAGTTTGTTGGCCCCTACATCTGATTCTTCTCTTTTGGGAATGAACCATTTTACTCCAGCTAAATCATCGGCTGTTGAAATGCCCATTGGACTAGGTGGGTCTATCTACAATCCTCACTTTGAAGTTGGCAACTATAGTACATCAATTCTTCGGGAAAGGTTATTTACGAATGCAGGGGGAGCAAAGTATGAAGTTGGTGCCAGCAAAGATTTCAAATTTGATAAAATATCAACTCCTGGAAAACGTCGGCCTAGTCTTATGGATGCAACACCATTTAGAGATATAAACAATTCATCTACAGCTCTTCTAAATAGACACCGGCAAGATAAACTTTCGGATCAAGTCTCATCAGAACCTGAACAAAATGGGTTTGCAAGCCAATTCCAGAACACGATTCCTCGACATTCCCATAGAATGACAACTAATCCAGTTTCTACACCTAGCAGTAATCGTGGCTTGCTGAAAGATCATTCACAAGACCTGCGCTCTAATTTGTCTAGTAAAAGAGTTCATTCTGATAGAGATGATAGATCATGGAATTTTGTTTCTTCGGAGGAACCAATGGATGCCTCTTGGAGGTAAGAATTTAAGTTATTTTTCAGTTTTCTCTCCTCATTTAATTCTCTTTGCATGCTAGCTTTCTTGAGCAATTGACTGTGGAGTGTGCTGTTTTAGAATTTTTTTTCGCTTTTCTTCTTAAGAGTTTCATCTTTTTCTTTTACTCATTTCTTTTAGTTCATGCAACTTGCAAAAATATTTACGGCAACTCTATTTATTTGGGGTGGGGGTGTTGTAATTTTTTCAGCTATGGAAAGAAGTCTCCTGGTGTGGAAGACAGGTATGCAAATGCAAATGGTGGGCCAAGATGGAGGTCTGATGAAACTAGTGATGAGGAAGAGGAGCCAAGTCCGGAGAGATCTATGGGAGTAGCTTCTACTCCATCGAGAGGAATTAGAAGAAGCAGATTTGCTAGGAGATGAAGATTGAATTTGGCCATCTTAAACTTAATTTCAAAGAAACACGGCAGAACTGATTGGAAAGCTGCAAATTATAAGAGTATGTAGGGCAGCGAAGCCATGACTTAGGGATAAAAGAGTTGCACAGGTAAAAGCTATACAGTTCCATGGAGAAGCAGCTTTCCATGTATACACTTACTGTGGTTATCGTCCACGTGGTGTTGAGATTGAGTACAGAGATTGAGGTTTGACAGGTCATTATCTTTTTTACAATGGGTTGATCAACCGTGTTTTTGTAATTCAGAGGAAATGATTCATGCCGGTGTTGGCCACATATTTGTATCATTTTAAAGTAAGCTAATGCTCAAGGCATTATTTTGTTGAGATGTAGGTCGATATATTTTGGGTTGGTATTGATTGGCAAAAGATAACATGAAGATCTAACCAACAAAAGTTAAAAATCAGCAAATGGCACCCTTGGATAAACCTGGCTTAAGGGTAGCATTTGCTTCAATGAACGAACGAGTTTGGCAGTTAAAATTGTATTTTATTTTATCTAGAAAATTTTGCGAGTATTATTCAGTTCACTTTTCAATTATATCCCTTTGAATTGCGATGAAATTTATGCAAGTGCAGCCCATAGGCCATAAGGCCTTAACAGATCTGTTTTCATTTGGGCTTGGGATATTGTCTTACTTTGGGCCTGCACTTGACAACTGACAAGAGCAATAAAAGTGATCTACAGGGAGAGATGGTACAGGCGACAAAACATCGGATGTGGTACCGTATTAAATTTGGAGAATATGATTGGATTTAAATTTATATACCACTATTACGGGTTAATGACGTTACACACCCTGAAAGTATCTATAAACTTATAAAGACAGTTTGTCCCAGAAAGTTCAGTAATTGTAACTCCTATTAAGCACCATGTGATCTCGTGGTCAAAGAGCAAAAGAAGGTTTTATGAGTTTCTGAGTTCGAGTTTTCCCAATCACTAATAAGGATGATTATTAAGACTCTTACCAGTTTGCAGTTCCAAGGCATTAGGGATTAATTGAAGTGTTTTTAAGTTAATCCGAACACTTTCGATGATAAAATAATAATAATAATAACTTCCACTACTTCCGTCTAATTTTAACAAATGCAAATGTTTTTATAAATCCCACCTACTTCTATAAATACAATTATATTTATATTTTTAATATTTTCATGCTTCTTGTTTTGAATGTAATGTTTAGAAATGAATACATATATTTCTATTTTTAAGATTCTAGGAATAATAATTAGGAAATTTGAATACATCAAATTAAATTATAAATTTTGGAGAAGTGTAAAAGAAAAAAAAAAAGGAAAATTAACAAAGCAACTTACAATTATTAAACATAAATTTCATTTCTATTATACTTACATGATCTTGATCAAACTCTTTTGATCGCATAAATTTCAACTTGATTGTTTGAAAATAGAATGAGGGTTTATGAAATTATGGTTTATGATTAAAAGAGGAAATTAATTTTTAAATACATATAACTCTTTTTTTTTTGGGTAATTTTAATAAAGGATAAAATTGTAATTAAAAATTCAATAATAATTGAGGGCAAAAGAGATGAAATATGAGGGGCTAATACATCACTCTTGATTAAATTATTACTTACGGGATTAAAACTGAAAACTTCTAATCTCATGTCTATCTCCATTTTGTTATAATGAAATATATAAAAATAATATAAAATAAAATTTTAATTCCATTATATTGGAAAAAAAAAAAAAAAAACCAAAACTAAATAAAAAGTCAATCAATCACATTTTCAGTGTTTTATTCTAGAATAATGCTATGGACACCGAATATGCTACGGACACTGAAATTTTACATCGAATTTTTGTACTGAAGGACATAACAACTAGTCAAACGCGAGTTTTTCATGAATAAACGGTCGTCTAATATTTATGAACGTCCGTCTATATTTAATAGACTTTCGTTCATATTATATAGATAAATTTAAAAAAAAAATAATAGACGTCTGTCCATATTATATGGACCGGTGTCTATCTTCAATTGTTTATATTCATTAAATTTTTGTCATTTAACTTTTGTCAATGTTTTATGTAATTGATCAAGTTTTATTGAATTTTTGTCCATATTCAAAGCAATTGGATGGATGCCCAATTAAATAAATTAATGCATTAAATAACTTTTGTCAACTTTTGGACAACAATAATGATACAAACACCGATATTTTTACACCAAAATCTTGTATCGACCTACGTGTCCCGTGATTCACACCAGACTCGTTTCACGTTATTAAATTTTTTTTCTCGTAAACGATTACTTTTCTCCACCTCCTACAACCTCCTCAAATCCACCTGACCCCTCCACCCCTTCTACTCCATCACCTCCTGCATAGCCACCTGTCTTACCGCCAACTCCTCAAAATACATCTCCACCCCCATTGACATCTACACCTTCTCCCCCTCCTCCTCAACATTCCATTTCATCTACTCTCCACCTGTTTCTAATCCACCAACCAATTCATCTTGACCACCGCCTGTATCTAATCCACCAAGGGGTTCACCTCCACCAACGAATTCCCCTCTACCACCACCAATGGCCAATCCACCAACAAGTCCTCCTCCACCATCAAATTCATCTCCATCACCAACATTTGATCCACCAAAAGCTTCACCTCCACCACAAACGCCAACACCAACTAATCCCAATCCTCTTCCCCCCAACACCCCCCCCCCCCCCCCCCCCCCCNAAATACAATTATATTTATATTTTTAATATTTTCATGCTTCTTGTTTTGAATGTAATGTTTAGAAATGAATACATATATTTCTATTTTTAAGATTCTAGGAATAATAATTAGGAAATTTGAATACATCAAATTAAATTATAAATTTTGGAGAAGTGTAAAAGAAAAAAAAAAAGGAAAATTAACAAAGCAACTTACAATTATTAAACATAAATTTCATCTCTATTATACTTACATGATCTTGATCAAACTCTTTCGATTGCATAAATTTCAACTTGACTGTTTGAAAATAGAATGACGGTTTATTAAATTATGGTTTATGATTAAAAGAGGAAATTAGTTTTTAGATACGTAAAACTCTGTCTTTTTAGGTAATTTTAATAAAGGATAAAATTATAATTAAAAATTCAATAATAATTGAGGTCAAAAGAGATGAAATATGAGGGGCTAATACATCACTCTTGATTAAATTATTACTTACAGGATTAAAACTGTAAACTTCTAATCTCATATCTATCTCCATTTTGTTACAATGAAATAAAAATAATATAAAAAAAAATTAATTCCATTATATTGAAGAAAAAAAAAAAAAACTCAAAACCAGATAAAAAGTCAATCAATCACATTTTCTGTATTTTATTCTATTATCAATTAATATATATGTTTTATTATTCACAAATAAAATCTTAGTGATTCTTAAAAAGGAAAATTTGAGAAATATTAGAAATTAAATAACAATAATACCATATGTACAAAAAGATTTACACATATTTCTTGTACAAAGTGATGTGACAGGAGATGAATGAAAGAATAAATATGATTAGTTTGACTTTTTATATTCACTCATCTATTCATGATAAAGTTTGAGATATGATCTATTTATATGAGGAACAGAGACCTCCAAGAACAAGAGATAGAAAGACTAATTGACAAATTTCTTTATTGATTCTCACAATCTATATTTAGGCTATTATATAACCTTACACTTAACTCTATTGACTCTCAAAAGGACTCTAATTATAAAAGGGATAATAATAATCCTAATTCTATCCTTATAAGATAATAATATAATTATAAAAGATAATTATAAAAGACTTAACATAATCATAAAAGATAATAATAAAATACTTAACACACTTATCCTAATTCTAAAATAATCATAACAATTCATCTCCTGTCACGTCACTCTGTATAAAATTTTTTTATACTTCTAACATTACCTATTAAATAATTCACATCAATTTGATTAATATATAATTTTATTTTAATTATGATTTTTAAGATTTTTATCTTTACATATTATTATATTATATAATAATAATAAAGACCAAACGACATGCACCTACCTATAGTTTGTCATAAAGACAATTTGATACCCAAAATGTTTGAAAATAAAAACAATCACTTTTCGTTAGAATTTGTTAGTGAATTCCGTTAGAAGAAGGACAGTATGATAATTTTGCCTTCAGCCGAAAAAGAGACCACTTTCCTCTCTTTTCTTATTTCTTTTTCTTTTCTTCAAATATTTTTCTTTACTGTCGTGCTGCCTCCAAATTCATCTCCCACTGCTGTGCCACCTCCACCACCATCTAACACCAGTTCACCCCCATCATCACAGCCATCTTCTCCACCTCCTACAACCTCCTCACCCTCTGAGCCCAATGAAAATCCACTTGACCCCTCCACCCCTTCTACTCCATCACCTCCTACACAGCCACCTCTCTCACCACCACCTCCTCAAAATACATCTCCACCCCCATTGACATCTACACCTTCTCCCCTTCTTCCTCAACAATCCATTTCACCTACATCTCCACCTGTTTCTAATCCACCAACCAGTTCATCTCGAGCACCACCACCGCTAGTATCTAATCCACCAAGGAGTTCACCTCAACCACCACCAGTGGCCAATCCACCAACAAGTCCTCCTCCACCATCAAATTCATCTCCATCACCAACATTTGATCCACCACAAACACCAACTACCCCAAAAAAAAAAAAAAAAAAAAGGGTATTGATGAGGAACAAGAATAGAATAAAACCTTGGTCCTTAGTGGGTGTAGTTGGAGTTGTTGTATAAGATATTTTCTCCAAGCTTCTTTAGCTAAATCAGACATGGTTGGTTAAAGGGGCGTGGAGTGTGATCAACCTTCATAAAAAAAAAAACTCAAAGACCCTTTACTCTCTCTCCAACACTTTGGAAAAGCGAAATTTTTAGAGAGAAAGAAGGAAGATTGGAAAGAGAGAGTCAGAGATGGAGTTTCATTAGAAGGTGGTAAGTGGCAGAGACGTAGACATTGAGGCATTGTTTATTATAATGCAGCGAAAAAGAAAGAAGAAAAGAGAGGAAATTGGCCTCTTTTTTGGTTGAATGGAAAATTATTACACTATCCTTCTTCAGGCGGAATTTACTAACAAATTCTAATGGAAAGTAGATCTTTATCATTTTCAAACCTTTTAAATATCAAATTGTCTTTATAATAAACTACGGGTAGGTGCATGTCGTTCGGTCTAATGATAAATTTTATTTGACTATGTTTGTTCATCTATCATTAAAAGAAATAAAAAGACGCGGGCATGATGATCAAAGAAAAGTGCTCCCATTCAATCCTCGCTTTGAAAAATGAGCTGGAGGATAGGGACCAAAAACAAATGGGGTGGCCTCCCCGCCATCGCCATCCCTGGTAGGACCCATACATACCCAAAATAATGTCTAAGTGTCTAATACTTAATACCGTTCATAGTTGTAGACAAGAAAGTTGTACAATGGACAGAACACTGTAAAAGAAAGAAGAAAGGAATGGGGGAAGCTCTGAAACTCCCTATCATAGACCTCTCTTCACCGGACCGCTTCTCCACTGCCGATTCAATCCGTCAGGTTTCTTTTTTCTCTCTTAGTAGTTCCGTTTTGAGTTAACTGCTTTTGAATTTGATGAAAGTGATAATTGGCGTCATTTATTTCATATTTTAGGCATGCATAGAATATGGTTTCTTTTATCTGGTGAATCATGGCGTAGAGGAAGAAATACTTGGAAGAATATTTGATGAGAGTAGGAAATTCTTCTCACTTCCCTTGGAACACAAGATGAGTTTGGTTCGCAAGGAACATAGAGGTTATACGCCTCTCTATGCTGAGAATCTTGACCCCTCTTCACCTTCTAAAGGTATTTGTTCATTTTTCAACTTTTGATTTCTTTAGTAACAATGATTAGTTTATTGTATGTGAGTGTTTCGATTGATTCTTTGAAGAGATGAGAATTGATTGTTGTTAATGGAATGGAGAACAGGTGACTCAAAAGAGAGTTTCTACATTGGTCCTTTAGAAGGAACTCATAGTAACTTGAATCAGTGGCCCTCCGAAGGTATTTTTATTTTATGTATAATATGCTGAATACTTCATTGGTTTTCAGGGTTTTCTTGTCCATGTTCATCATGCTAGCATTGGAGTGATATTTGACACGCATCAATTTTCCTCATTCATGCTTTGACTTGCAACTTATCATCTTTCAAGCTTCACATAGATATCTTGAGATTAAAAAAAATTGATTAAGCACTATGTTGGATGATGTTTTGGCTTAGGAAATTCCAGAAGTTCTGCCGTCTTGGAGATCCACGATGGACCTTTTCTATAAAAAAGTCCTGTGAGTTTGATCCCTCCTTATTGTTGAATTGCTTGTTGGCTATGTGTTTGTATGTTTTACATTAGTGAAATTGAAAATTGACAAGTGTTGCTTTGGTTATTATGAGATGTTACTTTTGTTCTGTTCTCGTATATTTATCTACTGATTATGATTTTGAATTCACAACTCGAAGTTTAATTGTTGATAAAGTGTTTTAATATGGATTGGTTTTATTTTTTGTATATTGCATAGCATTTATCCAGTTGACCGAATATGTTATTTAAGGAGGCAACTCAAAAATGCCTTGATTTTAGGTTGGGAACCAACCTACAGAGACACCTCTAGGACAATGAAATTCTGGTTGGTCAGCAAAATATTGGTGGATCATGTGTTCTTTTGCATCCTTGTTGTTATTTTTAGTTTGTTTGACTGTTTAGATTTTGAAGAATGGCAAATCAGTACAACTCTTACATGGTCCTAGATTTGCTGCATCAGGTATGCTGGAAGTAGATTAATCCATTTAATTGCTCTAGCTTTGAAATTGGATGAAGATTTCTTTGAGAAAGTGGGAGCATCGGATATTCCTACCGCATTTTTACGCCTGATACACTATCCAGGTATGAGACAATTTTGTTTCTTTAAATTTGGTAACCTGTAATATTATTCGAGGACCCAGGAAGATCTAGCTGAGAATATCGTTGAGGCTATGGCTTTCAAGCAATTATTTATGGATTTATACGTTGTTGATAATGTGCCACTTATTTCTTCTTTCAGGTGAATTAGATTCGTCTGGTGAAGAAATATACGGTGCTTCTGCTCATTCAGATTATGGAATGATAACTCTTCTAGCAACTGATGGCGTTCCAGGACTGCAGGCATGGTTTTCTTAAACAAATTCAATCATCACTTATTATAGCTTCAAATTGCCAAATGCTTTGGCCCATCTGAGTTGAGTTTCATATGCCAGCAGGTCTGCAGGGAGAAATTCAAAGAACCAAGGGTATGGGAGGACGTGCCAAGTATCAAGGGGTGATTAATGATGACATTTCTTTTAATGTAGATGGAAATTTAACTGGCGTAATGATATTTAAGTTCTATTAGCTATTTTGAATACATTAATAAATAAAATCTTCCTGATAAACTCTGGTCACTCATACTGAGAAATGAGGAAATTGAATGTTACAGTGAGTATTAAACTTCTTGTGGTAATCCAATCAGGTTAAATCATTAATGGAGTTTGCTAGGATATTTTTTTTTGTTGGTATTGCCTAGTTATTAGCTTGCTTTTTTTTATGCTGTGATATTAATGTTGTTTCTTCTTGATTTGTCACTGATACAGTATATATTTATGTAAATATGGTCATTATTGAATGGTATAGTACTTTGTCATTTCAACATCTGAACTTGTTATTTGAATTTGTAGGGCGTTCATTGTTAATATTGGGGACATGATGGAGAGATGGACTAACTGTTTATTTCGGTAATTTATCATTCTGCCTAATCAGCCAATTTGTTATTTTACCCGGTTCATAACATGTTTTCTGGGATCAAATAGTATAATGCTCTTATTAAAAAAAAGAAAAAAAAATACTAATAATCAATGGCTTCTTGGGTGGTAGCTGGTTTTAATCCTAATCTGTGCCTAATTGTAGGTCAACGCTTCACAGAGTGATGCCAACAGGACAAGAACGCTACTCTGTAATCATTTACTCCTTTTTTTTTTTTTTTTTCCTACTATGTCATCTTTTATGCCATTGTGCTTTTAGTAGTTTGTTGTCATAGATTATAAAGGATCTTAAGCTGCAAACATTTGATTTATCAGGGGTTAACACCTTTATAGGAGATCTGTTCCTCCTTTAGTAGATTGATCTGGGAGAACATCAAAATTACCAATAGCCATTGAAGAGTTCTTAGCAGTTATATCTAATTGAGTACTTACATGACAATTGCTGTCTGAGCAGGTTATGGTATGTGTCAGGAAAATGATATTTGCATTTTTGGACATTCCAAGTTCAGCTAGTTTTGGTCATCACTTACTGCAGTCTATAATGAAAATATAATTTTTTTTTTTTTTTTGTTTACTATAGAAGTAAAAAATATCAAATAACATGCTTCAAATTCAAACAAGTAGTTTCATTGCATCTCTAAGTATGAAATCCATCTTATTGAGTGTGCTTGTTAATGAGTTTAGCAACCCACAGCAACTTGGTCAACCTGTATTTGAAGACGAGAAATTTCTGCTGTGAGAAAAAAAATACTTGGCCAGTTAATTTAAAATGTGTTTCTTCAAAATGCGATATAATATAATTAGTGTTTTAGGACACATTAGAAAATTTCATTTTCATTGGATGTTCTAAAGTACACTTGGTTTGTGTCTCAGCTCCGTCTGAAGGAGTTACAATATTTTGCTATAATAGGTGGTTTTTGTAATTTTAACATTGTAGGCGGCATTCTTCTTGGATCCCAACAATAGCTGTGTAGTGGAATGCTTGGAAAGTTGTTGCAGTGAATCCTGCCCCCCAAGGTAGAGAATATTCTGAATTCCTTTGATTGCAATTTGTCATGGTGATTGTTGGAAGTTGATTCTTTGAATTATGTTGAATCGGTCATGGTGATAGTTTTTGTCAAATTTGTGTGGCATTTAACCATTTATATAATTTAGTAGTGTTGTGTTGTGTTTGCAGATTTCCCCCAATTCGCAGTGGGGACTACCTTAAAAAGCGGTTCAGGCTTACATATGGATCATAACATCTGCTTTCAGCCTGTAGTCGTATACAAAGATAATCTCCATCTTTTATCTTCATCATTTCTCTCCCTCTCTCTTTCTCGTTTTTTCGTTTTTTTTTTTTTTTTTTCTTTGTAAGGATAGACTTATTCTATATCTAAAATTGAAGAAAGCACTTCTACTGCCCTACACCAAAACACGGCTTGGTATTATCAGCAGAGTGAGATATTTTAATGTACCACGTGGATTTCTTTAATTGGGGCTTTAGATCTGTTCAAATTCCAAACGGAAGACGGAAGGTAGGAGAGCATTCATTGAATTCACCGGCCATTGATTGGGCAGATAGCTTAGATGTTTGAATTTTGATTGATGGTCAAAGTGAAAGACGTGTCGTGTATAACGTGAACACGAAATCCTCACCATGTCCGCTTCCGTGTTAGAGCGCGTTAACCAAGACGTCCTTGATTGCTACTCTGATTAAATCTCAACCGCACATCTGTCATTACCTCTCTCTTCTCCATCTTTTACTGCTTTATCCACATGCCATTCCATAAACGCCACGTTCTAGTCTTTCTCCTTTATCTTTTTGTATTTTAATTCCTTAATCCTTTTCGAGCGATTGTGATGTGATCCAGCCCCATAACTCCTCCCTTATTATTGCATTAAATAGGAATAAACTTTGAAATTAAAATTTAAAATAGTTATCTCAATTAGATTCTCCAATTCATGTTAACGTATGCTTTAATTTGGATGTCTCTAAGTGTGTGAGACCCACCAATGGAAAAATGTGTGTGATTTTGGATAAGGTGGATAAAGTTTTATAATCTGCAGTCGTACCATAGCATAAGATATCATCCTATATGCCATTATACGCTAGAATATGCCTTCTACTCTTACCTTTTGATTTGCTTACGCCCCCAATAACACACCATCACCGTCCACGTGTCCTCCTCCCCCTCTTATTTTATATTATCTTAGATCATAATTAATTAAGATATCACGGTGCAACCATTTCCATCTTTTTATTATTACCATTTTTTTTCAACCTCTTTTAAATAAGTACAAGACAAAATGGACTGAATGAGATGGGGACAACTCGGAATGTCGGATTAAATACGGTTAATGTTATTTTTATTATATTATGAAATGATATATATTATAATTATATAAATTTTTAATTATTTTTTATTTTTAATATTATAATAAAATTTATGTGATTGTGACATAGTATAATAAAAATAATATAAAAGAGTAATATAAATATAACATTATTCTTAAATATCATATGCTGTTTATGTATTTCAAATCATGCCTACCATATTACCAAAGTTGATGAGTAGCCGGATAATCTATTAAAATATTTTAGCTTCAATTAAAATTTTAATAAAAAGGTATAAGGTTAATGATCTAATTCTATCTTTATTTTACGTAAATTCATATCTTTTGGATTATCTACATTAAATGGTCCATAATTTGGCCTTATCTGACAAGTGAGATTAATACTGTACATTATTCTTTATTTATTATTATTATGTAAATTTATTTTAAATTAAAAGAAAAAAACTTTTCTTCGGTCTTCCACTTGAAAAGTGGGGCTACTCAGCGCTACCGCTAACCATAGTTAAAACTTAAAAGCGAAAGCACAGGTCAATCCCAAAAGATACGCATCACCGTTGGTCAGTCAACACGTGTTTGACAAAAGAAGATCATCGACCAAACACAGAACAAAACGAAGTTTTAACTCTACACTGCGAAACACCCAATCATAACTCTTTATCCAAATAAACCTAACCTAACACTACAGTGATTATATAGATATTGTCCTTCTTTACCTTACTTCTCTTTCTCCCATCTGCGGGAAAATAAAACCTAATCTACGTAACAATTCGGACCCCCCGATCCGGATCCGAACTACTACAATTAACCTCATTTTTTCAATCCAAATCTATCTGTTCCCATTTGCTCAACCCGAATCGAAATGACGCGCCGGTGCTCGCATTGCAGCCACAATGGCCACAACTCTCGGACATGCCCCAACCGTGGCGTCAAGCTCTTCGGAGTCAGACTGACCGATGGTTCGATCCGAAAGAGTGCTAGTATGGGCAATCTCAGCCACTACACCGGCTCCAATTTAAGTCATAACAACATTAACGGGTCAAACCCGGATGCTTCACCCGGTGAGACGCCGGATCATGCAGACGGGTACGCCTCCGAGGATTTCGTTCCCGGGTCGTCATCCAGTCGTGAACGGAAGAAAGGTTTCAGATTTTTCTAGTTTTGGACTGGCTTAAATTCGCGTTTGGTTATTTGAATTTTCTTTTGAGCTTCTGAGTTTTTTTTTTTTGAAGTTGTATATGAATTTTAATGTGTTTGGCTTTATTAGTAATATTTGATTTACGCATATAGAGAGAATCTTTAGAGTTTGGTTAAATAAGCCTTAGTTAGCTTGCAACTTTTGTTAGGATAATTCCGTTACTACTGGTGTGTTAAATTGCTAGAATAAATTGGTGGCATGGAATTTGGTAGTAGAATTGAATAAGGGATTATCGTTTGCAGAAAATTAGGGACTAGGATAAGCATCTTTGATTCCACTCAAATTCTTGAGCTCTAATTAGTTTCTACCAAACATTGAAGGGAAGTCCAAACGAATAAGTCTCAGAACTTGTGCAAATGTTGTTTTGATTTCCCTAATTCTGTGGAGAGTTAATATTCCAAGTGAATTGATGCCTTAAGTTTTTAGCCTGGGAGTTATTGTCTGTTCATCACACATATGTTTATGTAAAGCTATTCTCTGCTCTGATTTGGTTTCTTTTATAAAGGAATCTAAATATGAATCTGATTTTTGGTATGCAAAATCTTTCAAGTTGTGGAATGATGCTGTAAATTCTACTTAAGTACATGCTTATCACTTAGACCTCATGAGGATCCAATAATCTAAGATTATGTACTTGTACTGTGTGTGTCGTCTTTGTCTTACAATTGGCGTATGAAATTGTTGTATAGGAGTTCCATGGACGGAAGAGGAGCATAGGATGTTTCTTCTAGGTCTACAGAAGCTTGGCAAAGGTGATTGGCGTGGAATTGCGCGTAATTATGTTGTATCAAGAACACCTACACAAGTTGCTAGTCATGCTCAAAAATATTTTATCCGGCAAAGCAATGTTTCCAGGAGAAAAAGACGTTCCAGCCTGTTTGATATTGTTGCTGATGAAGTTAGTAGTCTTCTCTCTCTTTCTATGCATCATTGAATATTAGACATGCATGCTTTTCTGTCTTTCTATGCTTCATTTGAATATTAGACATGCATGGTTGTGTGCCTTGCACAGACACGGACACAAACATGTAAAAATGACTGCATAATGCCAGTTCCAGCTATGGGTATCATAGTGAGACTGTTCTATGCTTTACTGCAAGAGTTGCTTTTGGTTGTTTTTTTTTTTACATTGATCTGCTGCACGCATGAAGGAATACATAGCCTTACTATTCTTCTTTTTTTTTTTTTTTTTTTTTTAAAAAGTTGTTTTACATTAGCAATTATCCTGCTTTGCTAATTTTGGGATATTGTTGAAGTGGGTGCTTTTGCTCCTCTCATCTCCAAATGTATGTGTATTTGGTATTTGCTGTACCTTTCCATATGGGAGATTACTTCCCCTTTAGTTCTTAATGCATGCAATTTTTTATTTTATTTTCTGTGGTTATTCTCTTAAATTATTCCTCTTATGGAAGTTTGATAAATATTGTTGGCATTTGTTTCTTATATGCAGTCAGTGGACAGTGCGATCTTATCACAGGACTTATTCTCTGCCAACCATCCCCAGGCTGAAACACAAAGCAATAACCCACTACCGGCTGTTCCTGCTTTAGATGAAGAATGTGACTCAATGGATTCTACCAACTCCAATGATGGAGAGTCTGCTCCTTCAAAGCCAGAAAGCTCATCACAGTCTTCTTTTCCTGTTATATATCCTGCATATGTCTCACCGTTCTTTCCATTTTCTTTTCCTTTTTGGCCGGGGTACAATACAGAACCAACTAGGCAGGAAACACATGAAGTGCTCAAGCCAACAGCAGTACATTCAAAGAGCCCTATAAATGTTGATGAACTGGTTGGCATGTCAAAACTAAGTTTGGGAGAATCTATTGGTCAGACTGGTCCGTCTTCCCTTTCATTGAAACTTGTTGAAGGATCGTCTAGACAATCAGCTTTCCATGCTAAACCAGCCTCTGGCAATTCTGGCATGAATTCAAGTAGCAGTCCTATCCATGCAGTTTAAGGGCAGCTTTGCTGAGGTTGATAGTCTAGTTTAGCTCCATGCTGGTGAGCTCTACAGATGAATGTTAATACAAGACTAATAATGTGTTGTCGGATTTTGGTTGAGTCGTATATTTCTTTATGGAATTACCTAAATAAGATTGTTCTTGTAGTTTCAATAACTTATTTCATAGCTTGTAAGTTGTAGCATCTGCTTAGAAATTATTCGAAATTTTACAATTTGTGTTTTCTTAAACTTACCGTTTTCTTCTCAGTTTGCTACTCATAGATGATTTTAGTAGGCAGCCATATTTACTGATCAATACTCTCTGCCTCTGGTAAAGTCGTCTTATGGGTTAAAGATTTGATTATTGCATTTTTTTTCTTTAGATTTTCGATGATTCAGCGCCTCCTATGGATTTAATATAACTTCTTGGTAGACATTATCGAATTGTAGTTAAGGATGGAGATTAGATTCCTGTACACGCAAAACTCGAATGATTATTCAGTTCACTTAAGAGTGATTTGTCATGTTTCTAGTTAACATCACTAACAGCACCATGGTATATTAGGACCAAAAATCAAAATACCCCAAATAATAATTAACCAAATGTTGAATTTTGTCATAAGTTCTTCATGTAGATCTCAGCTGCAAAGACATTTTAATTTTTATGAAGCCATCACTCTTTGTTCCAAATAAGTCAGTCTATTTCATCTGTTCTAGGTTCCACTGGAAAATTCTGTTTACGGCCCCTTTTTGTCCGGCACGGGAAATTACATTCATACCCTTTTCACCACATTAAATAACAGGATATTAAGAGCTTCTGATAATAGAGGTGTCCATAAAAAAGTGGATTCTAATGCTTGAGTTAACTACAGTATCTATCAGTATCCCATGGCAGAGGTTTAAAAACAGAAAATGTTTCTATATACATCAATGCACTAATAATTTAGGCTGCTGTAAATATTTTATATTTCCTCTCAAATGATTTATTCTTTCAATATCTGTTTTGTGATGGGAAGTTTTTCCTTTTTACAATGAAATGCCGCTAATCTAGCGGTTATGGCAACCCAATGTTCTTTTCAAGCCCAGAAAGAACATATACATTTAAGCCGAATGATTATGAATGTCCTAACCAAACAAATGTTACTTACAAATCCCATAAACAGCAACAACTAAAACAGAAACATGAAAAACATTTTCACCCTCCCCAGATCCCCTAAACCTTGGAATACCAGAAGAAAACCCCAACACAGATCACCCTTCTTCTTCCTCTCAATCTTCCTCTTCTCAATTATCCTCTTCTTCATTGCCTACACTCACATCCCCAAATCCCTCCTCTCCCTATCATCCACACCAAATGCTCTAATTCCCAAATTCCCACCATGCCGAACCGCCAAAATCCTAACCCCGCATCAAAGATTCCTCTTTTATGCTCCACACAGTGGCTTCAGCAATCAACTTCAAGAATTCAAGAATGCAATTCTAATGGCGGGTATTTTGAACCGGACCTTGATTGTCCCTCCGATTCTCGACCACCATGCTGTTGCTCTTGGTAGCTGCCCTAAATTTAGGGTATCCAGTCCTACTGAGATTCGAATGTCAGTCTGGAATCACACCATCGAGCTCCTTCGAAGTGGAAGGTAACTGTTTTTTTTTTTGGGCCGCCGGGGGAGGGGAGAAGGAAGAGATTGGATCTGGTTTATTTTTCTTCTGGCTATGTGCTTGATTTCTTGAGCTTAGACTTATATTTCATCTCGGTTTCTTTTATTTTTGCTAACTAAATGTGGGTTATAATTAGTCCTTTAGTTGTAGAGGAACTTGTTGGAGAGAGAAGGAAAATTGGATTCTTGTTTTGAAGTTGTTTCGTTTCATTTTGTAAATGGATGCTCAGATTAACTGGATCATTGTCAAAGGGTATATCAGGCACAATTGACTGGAATTTTTCTTCTTCACTCTCTTTGCTTGAAATTGTTTACTTCAAAATTTTCTTCAGATGCCTTATGGTTTTGAGTGAGAACTCAAGAATAAGATTAGTGGAAGCTAATTAGATTTTCGGTTTTCTTTGTCATTCCTTATTTCATTGTTCTACTGAATGGTTTTGATAGCCATTGAACGGATTGTTGATTTTTATGCTCTTGCCTTGAACTGTACTCTTTGCTCTTATTGTAGGTATGTCTCCATAGCTGACGTTGTTGATATTTCATCTTTGGTGTTGTCTTCCTTGGTTCAAGTCATAGACTTTAGAGTTTTTGCATCTTCATGGTGTGGGGTGGACACTAATTTGTTTTGCTTGAATGAGTTGAATGCATACACCTCTTTATTTGATAGCCTAAAGCAATGTGGATATGCATTATCTGGGCTGACCAGTATAGATAAGTGTTTATATGCCATAGATGATGATTGTAGAACCACAGTTTGGACATACCAAAATGGTTCTGAGGATGGCGTATTAGATTTTTTCCAACCTGATGAGCAACTCAAGATGAAAAAGAAAATTTCATATGTTAGGAGACGTCGAGATGTATTCAAGGCCCTTGGACCTGGTTCTGAAGCTCAATTGGCCACTGTTCTTGCATTTGGGAGCCTGTTTACAGCTCCATACCGAGGCTCTGAGCTCTATCTTGATATCAGTAGAGCCACAAGTGATCAAAGGATACAGTCCTTAATTAAGAAGATTGAATTTATTCCTTTTGCCCCTGAAATTTTAACTGCGGGAAAGAAGTATGCTCTGGGGACAATAAAGGTTCCGTTTCTTTGCGCACAGCTCAGACTCTTAGACGGGCAGTTCAAGAACCGCTGGAAGGCTACTTTTTTGGGCTTAAAGCAAAAATTAGACTCTTTAAGGCNATTGGATTCTTGTTTTGAAGTTGTTTCGTTTCATTTTGTAAATGGATGCTCAGATTAACTGGATCATTGTCAAAGGGTATATCAGGCACAATTGACTGGAATTTTTCTTCTTCACTCTCTTTGCTTGAAATTGTTTACTTCAAAATTTTCTTCAGATGCCTTATGGTTTTGAGTGAGAACTCAAGAATAAGATTAGTGGAAGCTAATTAGATTTTCGGTTTTCTTTGTCATTCCTCATTTCATTGTTCTACTGAATGGTTTTGATAGCCATTGAACGGATTGTTGATTTTTATGCTTTTGCCTTGAACTGTACTCTTTGCTCTTATTGTAGGTATGTCTCCATAGCTGACGTTGTTGATATTTCATCTTTGGTGTTGTCTTCCTTGGTTCAAGTCATAGACTTTAGAGTTTTTGCATCTTCATGGTGTGGGGTGGACACTAATTTGTTTTGCTTGAATGAGTTGAATGCATACACCTCTTTATTTGATAGCCTAAAGCAATGTGGATATGCATTATCTGGGCTGACCAGTATAGATAAGTGTTTATATGCCATAGATGATGATTGTAGAACCACAGTTTGGACATACCAAAATGGTTCTGAGGATGGCGTATTAGATTTTTTCCAACCTGATGAGCAACTCAAGATGAAAAAGAAAATTTCATATGTTAGGAGACGTCGAGATGTATTTAAGGCCCTTGGACCTGGTTCTGAAGCTGAATTGGCCACTGTTCTTGCATTTGGGAGCCTGTTCACAGCTCCATACCGAGGCTCTGAGCTCTATCTTGATATAAGTAGAGCCACAAGTGATCAAAGGATACAGTCCTTAATTAAGAAGATTGAATTTATTCCTTTTGCCCCTGAAATATTAACTGCGGGAAAGAAGTATGCTCTTAGGACAATAAAGGTTCCGTTTCTTTGCGCACAGCTCAGACTCTTAGACGGGCAGTTCAAGAACCGCTGGAAGGCTACTTTTTTGGGCTTAAAGCAAAAATTAGACTCTTTAAGGCAGAAGGGTCCTCAGCCAATTCATATGTTTGTGATGACTGATCTTCCAGAAGGTAATTGGACTGGAACTTACCTAGGGGATCTGGCAAAAGATAAGGACTCTTTTAAGCTGTATTTTCTTAGGGAGGAAGATGACTTGGTTAAACAAACAGCAAAGAAACTTGCGACTGCAGGAAATAGCTTGATGTATGGATCTTTTTCAAAGAAGGTTCATGAAGTAACCGCAACAAAGAAGCATTGCCCTCAGAGGTTCTCTGATGTGCTTTTATTCATAGAGGAAACTGTGTGCAGTTGTGCTTCACTTGGTTTTGTTGGGACTGCTGGGTCAACCATTGCAGAGAGTGTAGAGCTGATGAGAAAATTTGATGCATGTCTGAGGGGAATTTGACCTTGTAAAAGAATCTTAGCCATAGAGCTGGTGGATTTTAGATATTGAGGATGGACTTCATGAGGTCAGTGAAATTTCAAAGATTCAATGGTTTATGAATCCTAAATGGGCTCTTCCTTACACTGTATGACACTTTAACATACATGTGCCTTCGGTTTATCGCATCTTGCTGCAAAAGCATGATGGCTATGCATCTGCAATTTTGATTTCTCCTCGCTTCCAATGTTCCACCTAATGAGCCATAGAGTTTTGTTAATTGAACATATGATGTGCCATTAAAGGCAAAGAAAAGGACTTCTCCCACATTATCATTTAATTTGGGTTGAGATGAAGAGAACATTTCTTGTTCAACAGAAAATGGGATCCTTTTAATCAGATTGGGAGGTAATTTTGTTATCATTTAAACATCAACTTGATTCTTTTGCACCTGTAAATTATGTTTGTTGATTGTGTAATGTGTGCACTAATGGACTCGCTGTTTTGATGGCCTATTTCTCAGATATGTATGTGGGATTACATCAATTTCCCCTTCAAAACAAAGTAAAGTTGGTTGCTGTAATTGTTCATGTGTTTTTCTTTTTCTTTTTAAATGTGATTAAGATAAAAGTCTGAACTTTTGAATTTTCTTTTATTAGAACATGATTGTCTTGTTATATGCATCAAGTTAAAAGACAAATAAGAGAAAGCACTTTCATGGCTTAAAAGTCTTTTCCAATAATTCCATTTTCTCTTTCCCCAAAAAAACAGAAATTAGAATCCTGCCTAGAACACCAGAATATCGTACCATGAAGGAAGATAGACATGCGAGAAAAGCATATTGGCCAGTGATCGTGATATCCTGATTCTTGATTGGACGTAATACCAAAGGCTTGTGCCCCTCCATCCCTGCGATAGATAGAAAGGTAGGGTAGAGTTTATGGTTTTTTCATGTTATCAAAGAGTTTAACAATGATTTTTAGTGTTGTGAGAGAGTTGAATAATGAAAATAGATGGCGAGTGCCATATCAAATTGATATAGTCATGTAGGAACAAGGTTCATGTCTATTGCATATCATGAAGTAGTGTGTAAATATTTGGTATGCCATCGTCCCTAAAACCTGCATCTCAATGTTTGGGATATCATAACAATAATATATAATTATGTACTAAATAATATTTATTTTAGTTTTTAACTGTTAAATGCAATTTGAGTTGATGGAAAATTTTGGTTTGTGGTGAAAACATGATTTCAATAACCATGACACTTCAAAATTCTTAAGTTGATTCGGCGAAGTTTTGTAGTGAAAAAGAAAAAAGTGAGATCCTCGTAGGTCATAATTACGAGCTCATTATTTCTGGATGGGTGTACAATAGGGCTGTGCAAAAAAATCCGATATCCGATCCTAATCCGCTCCGCTCTGGAAAATTCGGATCGGATACGGATTGGAATTTAGCAAAATCCGAATATTCGGATCGGATACCGGATCGGGATTATTAAAAAATCGGATATCCGTATCCGATCCGGATTTTGCCAAACTACGTTGTTTTAAGTTTTCAAAATTAAATTCACCCTAAGTCCCTAACACTCTAACAGTCTGTCTAAGTGTCTATACTCCAAGTCTCCAACGAAAAATACAATAGTCTCACTCTGACTCTCTGTCTCAGACTCGAACACGAACCCTAAACACTCAGTATCTCTCTCGCTCGACTCGAACATGAACATGTAGTCTCGCACTCTCGCTCACGCACAGTCGTCATCGTCAGTCGCACAACCTCTCAGTCTCTCACAGAGTCACAGTTTCACTCTCTCAGACCAGATCTCATCTGTCGTCTCAATCTCTCACTGTCTCTCTCGCTCAAAGCCTGAAACACGCACAGCCTTAAGCCTTTCACTCTCTCAGACCAGAATCAGTGAATCACCAGATCTCATCTCAATCTCACTCTGTCTCTCTCGCTCAACTCTCTGACTCTCTCGGTCTCTCTCGCTCGAATACGCACAGACAGAGACACAGTCAGTCAGCCACTCTCTCGGTGTCTCACTCTCTCTCGCTCGAACACTCTCAACTCTGTCAGTGTCTCACTCTCTCTCCCTCGAACACTCTCAGATCTCAGTCTCCCTGCCGATTGAAGCCCCAAATCGATTGTTGTCACAGCCTAGGGCGACTGCTGCCACACTGTAATAGTCTGGTGTTAAAATTTAAGAGAACTCTTGAAATTTTGTGAGAGGATATCCTAAAGTTGGGCCCTCGTAACATGTCAAGAGGTTTCCAAGATCAACATAAAATTGATAAATTTTTATAACCTAATTGTTGTTCACCCCACTTTTAAATTTATTTTTTGTTTTGACAAATTTAACTTTAATTTAAATTATAATTTTCAAAATACACTCATGTTCTATCTTATGTTTTTGTTTTAATTTTTAACATTTACTCTTACATAAACCTTAAATCTAAATTTTCATAATTATTGAAACTTTTTGATTTTATTTTTAAATATTTGTTTGTTTGATGAAAATATAGTACTACAACTATGGGAAACATAATAGGATGAATCTGAACCTAAAAAAGAGAAAATAAATTGAAATTAGGAAATTCTCGGAAAAAGATAAAAAGAAAAATCTAATTAGGTTCTATTTGGAAAAAAAGGGTATAAAATAAAAAACTAATAAAGTTTGAAATTGAGAAAAATAAACTTAATTATGCTTTAAAGATTATTTTTAATATTAAATGAGGTTTTTTTAATTATAGAAGATATGTACTTAGCCACGGGGTGAAGATCAATTAGATGGAGCTTAAATAATTTCCTACCAACTGCTAGAGAAAACCCTCACCACTTCCCCTCAGGTTTTCCAATGGATACCGTTTCGTCACTGTATATTCTATTTGAAAATGTAAACAGTAAAAAATGACCAAAGTAACAGAACTATTTAGTCCTCGTGGTTTTCAAAACGGGAGAAAAAGTTTACTATAAAGACAAATTGGTATCCAAAATGTTTGAAAAAGACAAACATATACCTTCCATCATGTGCCGTTAGAGATTTCTGTTTACTAAAGGATAAAAACAATAGAAAAGACTCAAATACCTTTGAGAGTTTAATATTTTAATATTTTATTAATTTATAACTAATCAACTCATTCAATTATATAAATACCCACATCATTATGTTGAATTACGATTATGCCACCAAGTTATTATGAGTTATGAAATGACCAGTTTGTCCCTATGCATATGTGAAAAATGAGACAACAAATGACCAATTTGTCCCTATTTTGGTAGCAAAATTTCAAAGTGAATATATAAAGAAAGCCGCAGAATAAAATTGCTTCTGCTTGTTTTTTAATTGGGATAGCTCATATTTTACAATTTTACCCACAGGTTAATTTAATCCGAATAGAAAGGACAAAGCCAATTCAAATGGTTGTGTTATCTATAAACCAGCCTCAAGGAGTAAAACATGTAACAAAAAGTCAATAAGGTCAGCTTAACTAAGCAGCCAAGGGCCCCAAGGTTAAATAAGTGGCTTCAATGGAACCCTTGAAAAAGAAAAACACCTCATTACAACAGAAATAGAAAGATGAACATAAAGAAGCAGTTCACAGAAAGGGGAAAAAAATTTTCCACAACACAAAATCAGCCTTAACTGACAATTCCAATTGTTCAAGAGCAACCCCTTTAAACAAACAACACCTATGATAATGCACTAATCGATGACAGACTTACCCAAAATTTTCAAAAAAATCTAAAAAAGCCGGCAACTAAACAACATCAATTAGCATAGCAACTTGGCAAATTATAACACACACTGCTCCAATTAGGAATGCAGAATCCTAGTGACAAGACCAGCAAGCTTCTAAGCAAGCACACAAACAACCAATGCTGGTAACTATGGACAATATGTCATCACAACCCAAATGCAGAATCCTTCACTCTTTTATCATCAAATAGTTGGAGTCTAAAACCTTTCTTATTTACGCAATATCAAGTCAACGACTTTGTATAAGCATCCAATTCCAACCGCTAATGAACTTGACCCTCCAATGCCATGGGTTCTTGTACAAAGGTGGGTTCATCTTGCTCCCCAACTGCTGGTTCCTCCTCTACACTGAGCTGAGTTTCTTCTGAACCAGTTGCAGGAGCTGACTCCTGGATGAGAGAATCAGCTTCCTTTGTTGCAGTCAATGAAGTGGTATTTTCCTCATTTGTTGCTTTTGGTGATATCATCTTTTCTTCCTTGCTGGAATTGTTTAAATTGATCCTTTTAGAAGGCAATTTAGGAAGGGACTTCTGTTGTGGCTTCTTCGATTGTACAGGAGAAATTCCTTTGGCAGAGTTGCTCTGAGATGCTTTCTCATCCAGACTTAGTTGGCCTGGTCGAGTGCTGGGGTTACCATTTCCATCTGGTTCCACGGAAGTCAAGGTCTTCTTTCTACAAAGTTTGGGAGATTTGGCTCTTGTTGTTGGTATATCTACATCAAATTATATTAAGGTTAAGGAAAAAGCAATTACAATTGTCTTAATATCTCTCCGGCTACCCATAACCAGTAAACTGGCAAATCAATTCTGCTACACAACTGGAATGGTCAAAGAGGGTGATTGGAAATAAAAAAAAAAAATCAATTGTACTGAACTCAAATCATCACATCAAGAATGAATTGAGCATCAACTGCGACAATATTATGTTAGGGAACCAAACATGTAATCAAGATATATTTCCCGAATATATATACGAAAACTGAAGCAAAATAATTTAGAGATGAAGGTTGGGCTGCATTCAACAACCTAAAAGTAAATTCATTTATCAGGAAAAAGAATAATTTGAGATGGGTGAAGTGCAAAGCACAGGCAAAGAAAAATAAAGGATTAAATGATCAAGTATTTCTCATCAAGAGTGAGAGGGGGGTGCTTCTTCTTAAATCCCAATCAAAATAAACATAACCCAATAGTGAAATGTAAATACAACCAGTGAAACTTAGCCCCCAAAGTAACCACCCAACTCCTTAGTCCATGTTTCTCTGGTTTCTATATATAAATGCACATCTTTCATCCATTATCTGATATTCTACGCTAAATCTTTGGCCAATGCTTAATAAAATAAATGAAAAATTCCAGGACTTTTAATAAACTAAACACTACTTCAATTTCGTCCCCAACTCATATTATTTGCTTAGTTCAAGAAATAGAAATTAGATTTCCTAACCCAACGAAGAGAAATAAATGTGCTCAGCTGCACACTAATGAGCTGGGATCATCAGATATAACTTCAAAAGCTACAACATAGCAAAATGCAAACTAACTACCACCAGACTAAAAAGCATGTCTGTGCCACTCGAACCTACAACCACCATAAAACACTTTTATGCAGCGAATAAATTTTCAACATCAATTCTGGCATAACTTTTACCAATAAGCAAAAAACACACTCTTTCAATTAAGATGCATTTATATGATTCAGATCTTGTTTGAACAACTATCAACGTTAGGAGCAGATTAACCAAATTGGTATAAGCACAAAATTATCAAATAATGATCATACTCAAACTACAAGCATCCTTTTTGTTAATGTTATTAATAAAATTTAATCAATCCACGCAGGGGAAAATGACAACGACATTAGATTCACACTTAATGATATCCCAACTTGAAGCAATGCATTGTTATAAGTTACATAGTTCGTAAAGCATTCTCCATACGAGTGCCATGATACTAAAATTCAGAGAAGAAAATTAGTTTTCATTTGGTTACATCTTTGATGAAAGTACAAACTTACCTTCTTTAACTCCACTCTAGGAGGAGGAGGCTCTTGGTAGAAGCTCGAGATGGGAGTTACTTTAAAGGTCATTCTATTCTCACAGTAAAGCAATTCCAACCCTTCTTTCCCTTCCGTCTCTCTCAAACCCAACAATGGGTTCTCTTTTTTTCTTTTTTTTATCTCCAGACCCACCAAAAAAAAAAAAAAACCCAGCTACTGGTTAGCCGCCATGTGCTCAGGAAGTGAAGAAAAAAATTAAGTGGCTGCCGGAATCGGCCACATTGTGGCGGAAGAATGCGATTAATTTGTGATCTCACCCGATCCGCCACGATCTAGGCAGTCACCCTAAGTCGCTGCGGATCTAGAGCGTGGTAGCTTCTTTCTGTTCCAAAGCAAAGATCGCAGCCGCCGAATTTGTTTCCGGTGGCTGTGATATCTTTTTTATGACTTTGACCCGCTGAATTTTTCTTTTTTGGGTTTAATCTTAAGAGAGAAGAAGAAAGAGGGAAACAAAGGGATAGAAGAAAAGACAGACGAAAAAGAGGGCGGGAAGTGACAGACGAAAAAGAGGGCGGGAAGTGAACACCCCCCCCCCCCCCCCCCCCCCCACAACAAAAAAAAAAAAAAAAAAAAAAAAAAAGAAAAGAGAGAGAGAAGAGAAGAGAACGGAAATAAGGAGAAAGAGATTTAAGATTAAAAATTTTTTTGGGTGTAGATGAAAGTATTATATTGCCCTTTAGCAGACGGAATCGTAACAGAATATGACAGAAAGTAGCTATTTGTCATTTCCAAACCTTTTGGGTACCAATTTGTTCACAGCAAACTTTGGGTAGGTTTATGTTGTTTAGCTTTTTCAAAACTGGCAAATATATTCTTTCTCATCTCTACCGAAATTCAAGCAACTCTATCTCTGTAAATTATATCTCATCTCCATAGAAATTCAACCAACTTTTCTCAATAACTTATAGCTCATCTCCACTCCGCATACATTCAAAAGGTATTCACAGAAATTGAAACTCATCTAGACCTAAATTGGTGTAACTCTCACACAATTTTACTATTTTATCTCTAACTCATTACACCAAAAAGATTATTTCTTAGAATATTTTATTTCTATTAATTCTCAACAATTAATTTATTTTACTAATTATTTTTGTATATATTAATTAAATATTATGAATAATATATTTTATATTTTATTAATTAACGACTAATAATAACTTTGAAAATTATACTAATTTAATAAAATTAAGCTTTTATTTAATCAAGTAAACATTACATTTAATATAAAATACCAAAAAAAAAAAAAAAACAATACAAAAGTGAAATTATATATTGATAGTAATTTAATGTACCAGAATACTCAATTTTTTACTATAGTTTATATTATATTTTCTTTTAATTTAAATTTTTTAAATTAGTGTTAAATTATTTTGAGCTATTGGAGTTCAATATTTGTATTGTAACGAAGTTTTGTTTTTAATTTTTCATCATTTTTTTAATTGTATAATTGTTATATATATTAATATAAATAATAATTAAATTAACATAAATACAAATTATATAAATTAAAAAAAAAATAAAAGATGTTTTGATGGGAATGAATAGTGTTACGCTCGGTATGGCTTTTGGTGTTTGGTTGGAGTAAAATTTGACCCATTGCCACACCAAATTGCTTTACACCAATTTGGTGTTTTACAGCAGTTTGGGGTCCTATTGTTTTACACCCATTTGAGAATCTAAACATTTACAACGCATTATTAAATTAAAACTAAAATTTGTTTCATTATTCATTCACAATCCAACAAACACACTGATTATATCTTGACAGTGTTTCAAAATCTAAGAAATTTTATCTTGATTTTTTATTTTAATTATATTTATTGTATTAAATTTTTGCTTTTAAAAACTTTTAGTTGTTGAAAGACGGATTTGCCCATTCATGTTAAAGTCTTGGCGTTAGGTAACTGTTTGTAAGGGAGGATGTTGATAAATTGAAAAACCTCAGGGTAAGTGGGAAAGATATCTCTAACAGTTGGTGGTCAATTGATTTTTGTTAAACCTCGGGAGAGGTAACTGATAATATACCTAAATAAAAAATATAGAATAACGTAAAGGCACAAAGATAACGATAAGACAATTTATTTATGTTACTTATGAATTTTCTTTTCTCATTTTTATAATTAGAGATATTAGCTTGTAATCCCAAAGTTTCCTTAACGTAAATAAGAATTTATTTACCCTAAGGTTTTTATCCATTAATTTTCCCCCTTATCCCTTTTGGATATAAAAAATATCGATTTATCCCTTTTGTCATTGTTTCATCAAGATTTGTTAATTGAATAATATATTTTATACTTAATTTGTTAAATTGAATACTAAAACACTAACAGAATATCGATGACAAGGGTTAAATTATTATTTATCATAGTTGAGGGAAAATTATTATTTGGAAAAACCTTAGAGGAAAAAAATACATTAAACGCTATAAATAAATACAACAAGGTATAGGTAATAGCTTACAACCAGGGCTGGGCGGGTCTGGGTACCCAATTCAATCCCATGGAACTAGAATCGAAATCGGAACCGATCGGTTCCTAGGATTTAGAACTGGAACCGGAACCAAAACTGGTTTGTTTCAATTCTTAGGTACCTAGAATTAGGGCTGCAAACGAACCAATCTGTTCGCAAATAGTTTGATGTTCGTTCGATAACAGCTTGATTTGACGCGATAACAAACGGTTCAGGTTCGAGTTCGTTCGATAAGGTGTTCGATTCGAGTTCGAACAATGGGTGTTCGTTCGATTATGTTTGCGAACATAACTTCGTTCGAATGATCCGTCCATTCGAATGACAAATAATAAATTATTATGATATATAACATGACAAATTTAATAACATAATAGATTGTATAATCAAACGATATATAATATAGCAAATCTAATAACATAATAGCTTCATAGTTTTCCAAATGTAATCAATAATTAAATATTATGATAGTGTTAAGGCCAAAAAATGTCCTAAGCCCCAATAGGCCCAAAGGCGAAGACACCTTCAACAAAGCTCGGAGCCATGGCCCAATTCCGATTAGGCTCGCAACAGAGTTTGCATATTAGCTCCGCTTAGTACACCTACCCTATTGCTCACTGCTTGGGCCCAATCAGCAAAGGTCCTGATTTGTTTAGGCCTCATCATCAACTTGTCTAGGCCCAAGCCCTTTGATCCTAGACCACATATGGACTTAGGGTCTACTTGGAGCCCAGGGTTGCCTACTTACTACGACACTATCCGAACTCTATCTAAGAGATCCATTACTATCTTAATTCGTCGAAGATCCGTATCTTAGACCCGTTGAGACTCCCTTTCCCACTAAGTAAGGGAGTCAAAGGCTCTTATTTTTTACTAAACCTCAACTCCCAAGGACTCACAGTCCTACTAGGACTCGAAGATCCTACAACTGCTGATAAGTTGCATAAATTTAGTGTTTTTAGGTTTGTTTTTATAGCCTTCTAGTTAATTTTTCATTTGTTTTCTGTGTTTTTATGTTAGTTTTTGTTAAGTTTGAAATATGAATGGTTAGCTATTGATTTGAAGAATTTCGTAATTTTCAGGCGTTAATTGAGTAGATTGGAGCATTGGAATGAAATTGGAACTCAAAGCTTGAAGCAATTGAGATTAGCTGACAAGTTTGAATGCCATGGCCTTGCCTTGGTGGTTCACCACGGCCGTGGTGGTTGAATGAAAATAAAATAACGAGGACAGAAAACACCATGGCCTAGGCTGTGGTGACGTACATTTGGACACGGCCAGGGCCATGTCGGACACTTTTAGGGTTTTTATTAATTTTTCTTTCCTTTTTCATTTAGGACTCTTTTGGGTATTTAAGGGTTATTAAGATTACTCCTTAGGGAGGCCGAATTTTACCCATTCTTGGAGAGAGATTATTGTGTAACAAAAGAGAAAGGACAATCAAAAACAAAATTCATCAAAGAGTTTGTTTTTACTTTTTCAATATGATTTATTTCTTGGATTCTACTCTTATTTCTTTTATTATGAACTAATTTTCTCAGGCTAAGACTAGGGTTAGTCTATTTATGGATCTATGATCAATCTTTTACTCTTTGGTCAGTGAATTATTTTTCTAATGATGAGTTTATATTATGTGCTTAATGCTATTAGGAACTTGATCAATTTCTGATAGAATTGTTTTGTGTGATTGAGACCGAGAGGAGATATCACATGAGTGCTTTAGTAATATAGGTCATGGATTAATTGGATATAGAGATATATGAATTAATACATGCAATAGTCATAGGCAGTATTAACTTGTGCTGAAAGCTAGATGATTTCACAAAGCTTAATGCTCATCTATTTCATTAAATCTATATAGAGATATCTAGGTTGTGAAATAGAAGTAGAATTAATATTGCTTGAGAAAGAATATTGGTTAACCTAGGAAATCCTGTTGTCACATTAATTAAATAAATTCATTGACCATAGTAAATTGAGGGGTGCAGAGAAGTTATAGATGAGCTTGAAGTCTTAGCCGTTTTCTCTCACTGAATTCTTAATTTTAGTTTTACTACAATTCGTTTCTAATTTTTCAGATTTTAATATTCTCAATTTTAAAGATCACCATTCTAAGTTTTGATTATCTAGATAAAGTTAAGACTAATTAATATCTCAGTACTTGTTTACACAATCCCTTGTGTACGATAACCTGTATTTTGTTATACTATATTACTTCAGACTAGTGCACTTGCTAGTAGTTGTTGCAAACGACACAACAAGTTTTTAACTGCTATTTAAGCAAGAGGCCAGTTCTCTCACAGGCACGGAACATTACACTTTCTTACCTCGTACTTCTCACTCTCGAGAGATTCACTTCGCTGTCATAGCCTTTGTCTCCGACTAAATTTCTAGTAACCTTCTCTTTCCCTAACCATTTCTAAATTAGCCTCACCTAGCCTTGCTGACTTGAGCGTCGGAGTGCCTACGGCAAATACCACCTCGATGCTTTCCGTAAGTTTCACACTTGTTTTCTTTTGTACGCAGGTGCAATAGATTGCTAGTGGCCTCAACCTCACAGGATCAGACCTTATTTCTGTAACGGTAGATTTTTTGCATCTACAATTTGGCGCCCATCATGGGGTCTCTGGCAATCATTCATCTTTCAAACCCTGCTTCGCAAGGAAACTCCCTATGGTTGAAAATTCAGATAACACCAATCCTGGTCTTGAGGTCAGACTCGAAGCTCTGACTGCCCTTATGCAACAGCACTCAGACAAGGTGGCAACATTGGAAGCTGAGAACGCTGCCATCCGAACCGAAAACGCCTCTATTTGGGTCGAAAACGCCTCTATTTGGGTCGAAAACTAGCCCTTGAAAGAAAATGTGAGTCAAATTTATGACCTTGAGCTTCAGCCTTGTCAGGTACAACCCAATCGTTTCCTCGCATTGATTCCATCCATGCAACCTCTCCAGACTCCGGATAACAGATTGGCCATTCCGAATACTCAGTCACGTCAACTCCATTCAATGCTAACGGGTGGCCCAACCTAGAGTCCAATTGAGTTAGGACAACAAACAGGGCCGCACTCAGCCAACCCATTACAGGCATAAGATTAAGGCATCCAAGTAGCATAAAGCCTACTACAACAAGAACCACCCACTCTCACCATCTCGCCTCACCTCCAACTAATCACTGCTACCCAAAACCCACTCGGCTGGACTCACACTCGCGGGTCGAGTGGACTCCCTCACCTTCAGTCCACCCCACTCGAGTCCGTCTATCCCCACAGACCGAGTGACACCCAAATAACCCTTTTGACCATCCATACAAGCCGAAACACCCGATCAGTCATAGTGGAAACCATCCAATCAGAGGGAATGAATGGAGATCCAAATTACTAAGCGGCACACAATGAAACGATTCACCTAACTACCCCACATGACTTGACCCAACGAAACATGCTGAATGCGAGTCATATGACAAACCAAACCAACCAAGCCGACCTGGTGGCCTCCGCCTTGCCTATGGAGCAAATATTGGCCAAAAGATTGACCGACATAGAGGCAATGATGAGGCGTATACCTAGAGTGCCAATCCCAACCAAAAAGGGTCGACCTCACAACTATGCCAATTCACCCTTTGTGGATGCAATTGCTCTAACCGAGATGCCACACAAGTTCACCATTCCCAGCATGAGGCCTAACAATGGCACAATCGAGTTGGATGACCACATAGCCTCCTACAAGCAGTGGATGTTCGTTGCCTCAATACCCCGAACACTGAGGGAAACCTGTATGTGTAAAAGCTTCGACTCCAACCTCTCTGGACCAACCCTTCAATGGTACACTAACCTTCCAAATAACTCAATTAGCTCATTTGCTCAGCTCACCGACACCTTTGTTGAACAATTCGCCAACAACAAGAAACTCAAGAAACTGTCAACCAACCTATATAGAGTCTACCAGAAAAAGAGGGAGCCGTTGAGAGAGTACGCCAGCAAATTTAATAAAGAAAAAATCTTCATCCCATCCTATAATCCAGAGACAACGGTAGGTGCTTTCAGAAAAGGTCTCCTCCCAGATGGAGAACTATACAAAGACTTGACAAAACTTGGCTGCACCATAATGGAAGACGTCTAGCTAGAGTAGTGATCCATATCAGATATGAGGAAGACGAGGTGAATCGAATGAGGCATGCTAGATATGATGACCGTCATGAAAGGCGGAGTGAAAGAAGGCTAGAGTCCAGATCGTTTGAGCCTCGTTATCAACCCCTTCCCTGTAATCTAAGCAGAATCAAAAAATCATATGACCGCTAACCGACCAGAGCCACAAATAGGCCATCCGGATCAAACCAATTCAAGATTCCAGAGTACACCCTCAACATTGAACCAGCTTAAGTCGTGGCAATCATGAAATGGATGGTACTTACCCTAAAGTGGCCAGCCAAGCTCAATCTCGATGCAAAGAGGGACACAACCAAGTGGTGCAAATTTCACGGTGATTATGGTCATAACACCATCGATTGCATCGCTCTAAGATTGGAAGTTGCAGCACTATTGAAGAGGGACATCTCCAGGACTTGTTGATAGATAAAGGGAAAATACAGTCAGCCAGAGAAGCTTGAAGGAAACATCTCCCCCTCTATAGGAACTGACACGGAAGAGGTTCTGCTCTATTATCTCTAGAGGATCGGAAATCAGTAGGATGAGTTATTCCCTAGCCAAGCGCTACGCTCGAGCTAGCCATCACCTAGAAATCCAATCCATCCATTCATCCCCTCAGGCACATATTAACTAGATCATTCAGTTTGAAGACGACGAGCCAGCCACCTTAGCCGCCCATCATCGTGATGACGAGTCAACCACCTTAGCCGCCCCTCATCACGATGCTCTAGTCATCTCCCTCCAGATTGCCAACATCCTGGTCAATAGAGTGTTCGTAGACGGGGGATCCTCAACAAACATCCTCTTCCTTGAAGCAGTGAAAGCCATGGGATTGGATGAATCAAACATCAGCAAACGCCCAACCATCCTGGTCGGGTTCAGTTTTGAGCAGAAGTACACCATTAGTGAAATTAACTTGCTTGTCTATACCAGCACAATCAACAAGCAAACTATCTTCCTAGTACTTGATTGCCCCTCACTGTACAGTGTCATCTTGGGTCAACCCTAGATCCACGACATGCGAGTTGTCCCATCCACCTTCCATCAAATTATCAGGTTTCCAACAAAGTGGGGAGTAAGAGAAATCAAGGGCGATCCTAAGGCCTCCAAAGACTGCTACAAGAATGCGTTCAAAGGCAAAAGTCATGCTTCATAGCAACTATAGTTCCATCCAACCCTTCCGACTGAGCCAGATCAACCATCCATGGAAGAGTTGGATGAAGTGCAGATACATTCAGACCACCCCGACTGAAAGACCCAGATAGACTCTCACCTTAAGCCCGAGATAAGAGAGCGACTTATAGACTTCCTTAAGCAGAATTAGGATTGCTTCACTTGGTCCCACACAGACATGATAAGCGTCAGCCCCGAGGCAATCATCCACCACCTTCACGTAGATCCGGATCACCCTCCAGTGAAGTAGAGGCAAAAAAAGTTCACTCCAGAACGCAACCGGTTATTAATGAGGAAGTTGAGAAGTTGTTGAGTAACAGATTGATCAGAGAAGTCTATTATCCTGATTGGCTAGCAAACGTGGTGGTCGTGAAGAATAAGAACGGAAAATAGAGGGTTTGCATAGACTTCACAGATCTGAACAAGGCTTGTCCCAAGGACTCATTCCCACTCCCTCATATCGACATGATGGTCGATGCGACTACAAGTCATTGACTCTTATGTTTTATGGATGCCTTTTTGGGGTAAAACCATTTTGATACACCTGGACAACTAGGAAAATACAGCTTTCATCACAGAGAGAAGAACCTATTGCTACAAAGTAATGCGTTTTGGTCTTAAGAACGTCGGGGCCACCTACCAGCGTCTAGTCAACAGAATATTTGTTGAACACCTTAGACACCATGGAAGTATACATTGATGACATACTCGTCAAGTCCTTTATAGCCAAGCAGCACCTCGACCACCTCAGCTAAGCATTTGCTATCCTAAAGAAATACAATATGAAGCTAAACTCAGCTAAGTGTTCGTTCAAGGTCTCATCAGGAAAATTCTTGGAGTACATGGTGACTCAACGTGGGATAGAAGCAAATCTTGACCAAATCCAGGCAGTCCTGAACATACCATCACCAACTTGCATCAAAGATGTCTAGTGCCTTGCGGGGCATGTGGCTGCTTTAAGCTGTTTCATCTCCAGACTTCTAACAAGTGCCACCTCTTCTTCGCCACACTTAGGAAATCTAAGAAGTTTGAGTGGACCCCTTCCTGCAAGAAGGCCCTACAACAGCTAAAGAGGTACCTAACCTCTCCTCCACTTCTTTCCAAGCCCGTGGTTGGGGAAAAAACTCTATACCTATCTAGTAGTCTCGGAGACAACCATCTCAGTAGTGTTTATTCAAGAAGACAATGCGAAGCAACTACTAGTTTACTATGTAAGTAAATCACTCTTTGATGTCGAGACACGATACAACCAGTTGTAGAACTGGGCACTCGCCTTCATCCATGCATCCAGGAAGCTCAAACCATATTTTCAATGCAACTCTAGAGTTGTCTTCACCTCCTTCTCACTCAAAAAGATACTTCACAATCCAGAGTTAGCAGGCCGACTTACCTAATGGACAGTAAAGCTTAGTGAGTTTGAAATATCTTTCCAACCACGCACCGCCATCAAATCCCAAGTGTTGGCAGACTTCATTGTTGATTTCACTCCTAACACTACCGTCCAGGCAAAAAAAGAGCTATTGTGTATGAATAGCGAGTCATCTTCAAAGTGGACTCTCTCAGTGGATGGCTCAAGCAATGTGAATGGAAGTGGGCTTGGCATTGTACTTTTTACACCAGAAGGAGATATCATCCCGCAGGCCATATGGTGTGGGTTCAAGTGCACAAACAACAAAGCCGAATACAAAGCCCTGATCGCCGAACTCTCTCTGGCCAAGAAGATTAGAGTAAGAAAGCTGGAGGCACTAACCATGCCCGAGTCTTGAAGATGACAACTTACTTGAACTTGGTCAAAGAAATCCAGTATGCCTTCGAAGAATTCTCTATTACCCAAGTCCCATGAACAGAGAACACCCATGTTGATGCCCTTGCCAACCTCGGCTCAGCCCTTCAAGGCTCCTCCCAGTCATCCATCCCACTACTGTTCCTCCAATGGCCAGCCAACTAGAAGAAACATCCAACGAGCAAGTTGCCCAACCCAAAAAAGCCTAAACAAGTAATGGATGTTGAACCGACTGACTTCTAGATGACCCCAATAATCAGATACTTGGAACATGATGAGCTTCCAGTCGACAAGAATGAAGCATGCTGCCTGAGAGCAAAAGTTGCAAGATTTACCATATACGAGGGCCAACTCTTTAGGAAGTCATTCTCTAGCCCCTACTCAAATGCGTAAGCCTAGAGGAAGCCAAATATGTTCTCGCCAAACTCCATGAAGACGAATGTTAGAACCATGTAGGAGGACGCAGCCTTGCCCTCTGGGTGATCACTATTGGTTATTATTGGCCAACTATACGCATTGACTCAGCATCCTATGTGAAGAAATGCGATAGTTGTCAAAGGTTCTCCCACGTCTCACCTCCCACCTGAGCGACTCAACTCTACCCTCACATCTTGGCCATTCATGAATTGGGGGATGGACATAGTTAGAAAACTCCTGACCGCACCCAGGCAACGAGTCTTTATGTTGGCAGTCACCGACTATTTTACTAAGTAGATCGAAGCCAAAACACTAGCCCAAGTCAGAGATCGAGAGGTAAAAGCCTTCATCTGGAAACATGTCATTTGTAGATTTGAAATACTGAAGGAAATAGTCACCGATAATGGATCCCAATTCATCAGCTCAAGCTTTAGAGACTTCTGTGACATGTGGGGGATCAAGCTCAACTTCTCTACCCCTCAACCCCTAATCGAATAGCTAGGCTGAATCATCAAATAAAACAATCATGCAAACTTTAAAGAAGCACCTCCAGAAAGCTAA